CCGTCAAGATCTCGCTGAGAGCGAGAGAGCTGCGAGACTTGTATTTGCCCTCAAATATACCCCTGGCTGATCTATGTGACCAATGTACTTGAAACAGTGCACCCGACGGCGGCGGAAGCGAATATAGCACCATTTGAGAGTGGGACAAAAGCAAGTCCCGTGGCTTTCTCGTTGTCAGCGAGATCTCGACGAGCTTCTTGCCGGGCCCGAAGATGCTTGTTTTCGAATGACGTCGTGACCGCCGGCGGGAGTAAGGATGTGATTTCGTGATACGAGAAGAACATTCAAATAATTCCATTTGAGGTTATTTCTCTCACAGTGGTTTCCACGCCGATGAGAAGGTATCGGCGAGTTTCAAATTGTCAAATGAATATTGATTTTTGATACAAACGATAAAATCAGTAATTTGGAAATAAATAAAATCCAATGTCACATATAATGTTGATATTTCATGATATTTAAATATATCTGGTTATGGAAGATGCTTTTACGAGCTTCATACAAAAAATACTAATGATATAAATATATTTAAAAAATGTCAACGTATTTATTTTAAATTCTGACACATTCATAGTCCAATCGCCATTATATAACATTATACGTAATGTTATGTATTGATTGGGAATTGAGTCTCAAGCGACGATAACAACATACGCTAAAACACAAAGGCTCATGGGTAGACGCTTGTTTATAAACAATGACATGCTATGGCCATCTGACGCATGCGCAGGTAACGACTCTCCCGCTTTAAACCAATGCACAAACGTCATCCCTTGCCATAATGTTACCATCCTTTTCTAGTGAGTGCAATTCTTGGGGCGGACATCCAGGCACTTTTACCACTTAGCAATCATCACGGCAAACAAAGGCCGACAACTCTCAGAAAACGATACTTTGGGATGATGGTTGCTGAGACTCTCTCAAATAGTGTAACAAGATTACTCCTTCATGTACAACATGTTTGAATTTGGTTATTCTGGCTCAGATTTCAGTTTCTGCTTTCTCGACATTTAGTGTTTCTGTGCGCATGAGCACGTGAGTTGAGTCGGTTGTGGGTAGAAACCCGGAATAGAGAGATTGCGGTAACAATAACTCAACTGTCTATTCGCTTCACTAGATTACATGCAAGTTACAATGAAACAACAAACAAACTACTAATAGTAACACCGGGATGTGATTGGTTGAAATAACTGTGGGTGTGGCAACAGCAGTGGGTGTCTAATTAGGTTCAGACTAACAGTCTCCACAGTTTCACCGGCTCTTCGACTGGCGTTTCACATCAGCTCGTTATTACCCTTAAAATACTCTGTACAATTGCGTCTTAGCAACATAGAACGTGCTGTGATGCATTAAAATACGTTTTGGATGTCGGGCAGATAAATGTCGTGTGTGACAAGCAATTACAAATCCAATCAGCGTAACCATGGTAACATTCATATAAACATACACACAAACAGCATATGGAATATATAATAGAAAAATAGAACATTCTACAGTGATGAATGGAATTGGATTAAGCTTATTGTTGTCACGAAGAAGCGCATAACACGATGAACAATGGAATTCGCGTTCATTGTGACTGTTTGCGAGTTTTAAAATCATGAATTATACTTTTACAGCCACATCTACGCAACCATTTACTCTGAGGGATGATAAGGAGACTGATATTTAAAAAAATCTAGTGCAGGTTGCTATTTTCTCCGATTACTATCGGAGTTGCCGGAGTATTATTTTGCATAGAAATCGCTAAACTATCACGTACCCACAAGGCACTTGTTGATCTAAGGACATATTTCGAAGCAAGTCGCGTGGTTGTCTCGTTCTGAACGAGATCTCCGCGAACGTTTGCGCCTTTTAGGGCGATTTGCACAGGTAACTATAGTAAGAGCAAAACTGTTTCACAAACAACAACAGAAGATATTGAGACATTTCCTAATGCATAGCCATGTTCTGTAAGATTGGTTGCATTGTCAAAATGACGTGGATACATATGCCATGTCGATCATCTATAATACATGCCACACTGTAATGAAAATAGACAAAGAGATTATTTATCGAGTACTCTGTGACAGATGTTCACAAGTGTCCAGGGTTTGGTTTACAGGGGACGCCCCGCTAAAAATACGTCGCGCGTAGATATGAAGGAATGCGGTTATCACACAGAAATCTATAGGGAATAAATGCGTTAACTCCATATTGGATTTGCAAAGGATTGTGGGATTAGAAAATTGAACTGTAGAAGGAGTTTTTTGGGGGGTGTGGGTGGGGGCTCAAATCTTTTCCATAGAGCCCTATGTTCACACATTTCTTCTTTCTATAGCAATCTCTGGCGTTGGGAGAAACGCATCCGCTACGGAGGTTTGCGCGTCGGTCGCTGCACGGCGTACTGTCTTAGTGCATACTTTGCGGTATCCTCGTAATACCCTTATTATTACATCTTTTCTTCCCAGGAATACATCATGGGAATGCCGAAATTCAAAAAGTTTAGAACAGATTTAGCGAACTGCTTTGTGTGGGGTCCGGTCAAACCTTCTGGCAGCCATGTTTGTTTTTTATTATTAGAGGACCCTTACGCGCATAATCATTCCATATTTGGAATTCGCGTTTCCTAATATGGTAGGATGAAAATACCCAGTGCAATGCCGTAAAATTTCGGCACGTGTAACTTATGGCGTTACGGTTGCAGGTGTATAATAATACTATTTGACGGTCGGTTGTAGACCCGATATGTTATGATGACCCAATTTACTCGGCTACCATGGGGCTACGGTCTCCGACTGATGGCGACGAGTGATGTTACCGATATACAGTCTGGTGTATTAGTGACGTCATATAGCTACCGAGATTCAACCCTCGGCAGCACGACTAGGGAATGTATTTTCAGGCTCAGCACTAGCCACTAGAAAGGCGACCGTACCATGGGACACGTTTTGTTTGCTTCTGAAATGGAAGTGATGGAAACTATTCTGTTGAAATGACGTCACGAAAAAAATCGCTCATGATTGAGTTCTAATTGCCTAGGTTAACAAACACAGAATAAAATATTGCCAGTTCAGAGCCGGATGTTGTATGAGTTTTAATGCG